AAATTTACATGATTTTTCCTATTTTGTAGAAATTAAAACAAACTACTAATTGATAAAACCGATCAACTTATGCAGCTTTGAGATTTCTCGCTTTCATGAGTTGTAAAATTTAAAGAGACGTGAGCTTTGTCGAATCATTTCGATCAATGTTCTATTAGCTTTTTTAAGCTTCGGAACAACCTAAACCGTAGACAAGTTGAACGCCACATTTTTGCTCAACACTTAAATAAACATGGTATTCATAAAACATTAACTAGTACTAGTCTAAGGAGGTCCTCATAGCTCTATCTTTAAATGTCCTCTAGTTTTGACATAAATATATTGACGTTTTACATTTAGGTTTTTTACGTTTAGTTCCATCTATTAGTGAAGTATCAATTTATTCATCTATTTAAGAGCTTTTTATAAATAAAATATTTCTATAAGGTAGAAAATGTTGATTTGCACCCTTCACGCATGCAAATAAAATGTTAAAATTGGATAGATATTACATTTTACCATTCGTGGCCAATGGTGATTATACCCTCTTGTCCAGGGTAACCCCCATATCTTTTCGACCCCCATATAGTTTATGAATACATTGTTTCCAATTCTCTGAAAATATTATGCATATTTTATTAGTTGTACTTTGTACATGTCGAAACTTACCCTTACCTATATACTTGGGTTCCGTGCTGCATGCAAATAACGTGCGTTCCGTCGCATGTCAAGTGACAAGCATATTTATTATTCAATAGACCTATGGCTACTGCTCGTGGCTCCGCCCCTCAAAAGACATGCTCGCGTTACATTAATTAGAGGTCTTCCGGTATAACTCGATAAAAAATTCACACAAGACTCAAACAGGGCGAATCGCATGTAACATTGATCCAAATGTCATTAATTCGCTTTAATTTTTTGTATTTTTAGATTGCGTTCCAATCATATTTTTTGTTATTTGATTGTAATGAGAAATCATTTGACAAAATCCACTTTTTAGTTTTTTTTTCTCACACGGTGGGTTGTTAAAAACTTTCGGTTAAGTATTTATTGGGTTACAATCATATTAATACATCGAGTGAGTATGTAGAGCTGGTGGGTACAGCTCGTACTGTTAAATGAGTACTCCGCCCACGCAAAATACCCACTCTGTGTTCTGAATGCTAGTAACTCAATAAGTACTTATCCTAAATTCAACCCATCGATGTGTTCACGAGAAAAGGATTAACAAATTGATATTTTCAAATTTTGAAACACAATTTTTCTTTGATAAATGTATTATTTAAATGTTTTCATATGATAATTAAAACATTGTATGGTAGCAAATTAAAAGCAAGATTGAATTATCAACCGTAAATTTGTGGACATAAAACAAAGTTGAAAGTAAATGTAAAAATGAAATATCATTCATCATAATTATATTATTGCTATCATTACAAATATTTTATGTTGCTTATTAGTTCTATTTATTATATTTAGTCGAGTTCATATAATATCCGATAAAAAAAATTTGACATAAATTTTAATTATTTCGATGTAGATGGTAGAGGGAGAGAAATTCAAATTATTGACAGATAATTGATTTAAAATAAGAATACCTAACTAATATTATGACTAGATCTAGACATATAGTTTAGTTCGATATTTTATAGATCAATTGATGATCTGGATAAAAGTATCATAATTACATCTATATGAATTAAAATGAGCGGGTTAAAGTTATTTTACTACATTTTAATTTCGACACAGTTCTAAATGGGCTATTAAAAGGTGAATTTCCTGTGTTCTGGAATTAACCTACTGTGAACTATTCAGCAACGTGTCCCTTATAATTTTGGGATAGATTCAGTCGCATCCGCCGTAATTTAATCTTTTAACGGCGTAATAAAATAATTTAATGTCATTGTAATACTGTTACTATCAAGTTCACCGATTGTCCGTTTTAGACGTGGATAAGATTCCTGCTGTGTGTGAAATCTTCTACTTCCTCGCACGGATTTCACTCGACAATCCGACGAACCCTGCGGTGCTCGCCTCCGTTCAACCCCAAACCACACTCCGTGGAGAAGTCTGTACATTTTCCCTTTATAAATACATTTTATTAAATGAAATTTAACCTAACGTCGTAAGTATTCTATGGGTTTTTGGGAAGTGTCGTAATTTGTATAATTTCCGTTTTGAAGAATTGAATACCGCCAATATTAATATTAATAAATAATATGTATTGTGAATGATAATATTTTTTTGTAGAACAAAATTACTAAACCAAAACAATTGAAATTAAAACATTTCTTTTAAAAGTACTGTATATTAATATGTTGTTCAACATTTAAAAATTAACAATCAAAAGTCACTTTATCCCTCCAGTGTCAACATTGATGACAAGAAAAAATAAATAAGTCGACGAAAATCAACAAAAGTTTTATAATGCATTATATTAATCATACTACTTATATAACCGATTTAAAATGATTTCCAACTAGTTAACCTTCTAAATTAAGCGTGTTTTTCTTACCTCGAAATCCGTCAGACTAAAAACACCGACTACCAACCATAGTGTCTCTCAGAATTCACATTGTATAAGTTTAACTGTATTTTGACCTTTTTTTTTGTTGATTTAAATACACATATAAACACCGGTACATACTAACTTTTAATTTGTAATCCAAAAAGCGGTGGTAACAACAGAAATATTATACCACAACAAATAATNTTGTTCAACATTTAAAAATTAACAATCAAAAGTCACTTTATCCCTCCAGTGTCAACATTGATGACAAGAAAAAATAAATAAGTCGACGAAAATCAACAAAAGTTTTATAATGTATTATATTAATCATACTACTTATATAACCGATTTAAAATGATTTCCAACTAGTTAACCTTCTAAATTAAGCGTGTTTTTCTTACCTCGAAATCCGTCAGACTAAAAACACCGACTACCAACCATAGTGTCTCTCAGAATTCACATTGTATAAGTTTAACTGTATTTTGACCTTTTTTTTTGTTGATTTAAATACACATATAAACACCGGTACATACTAACTTTTAATTTGTAATCCAAAAAGCGGTGGTAACAACAGAAATATTATACCACAACAAATAATCAACAGTTGTCAAGCATTTGATGTTTTAGCCTTGTTATGTCTTATCGAATTGAAAATATATCTATATAATTTGATTATATTTTTACAACCTGAGTACTAAAAGTCCACGTCTTTTACAAACCGGTTTATTATAATTCATTTTATATAAATAATTAAAATATAAATAAAGAAGTTCCACTCCAAGAAAAGGTTCACTTTTTATTCAATGTTTTTCTAGAAACTTTAAACTAAAGTTATGTTTTTATGCTAACTTGTGTTTTACTTGACAATTTATACATTGATTATGTCACTTTATTTAGCTAGAATATTTTATAGAAAAATTCGCAATTTAATTGTCATTCTGTAGGATAAATATCGCAGTCGTTATTTTGCATAGGAAGTTATACAGCGGTGTATTCCTTTGTACAAGAAGAAATATCTTTGAACGGATAGCAATTGAAATTGACTCGTGAAAAATAAACTACTCGTAACTATTAACATGTTCTATATGACAAAAAAAAAAACCAAAAAATTGTATAAAGAATAATAGTAACGAAGTATTCACAAGTGTCCTGAAAAACGGTCATCGGAGCATAATATTATTGGTCAAGCGTATTAATTTTCTGGGCGGATGGAGGCGGACGTTTGTACGCACATATTCCTACACACATAGTTCACGATAAAGAATACTTATTTACGTTTTATAGCAATCATGATGGGACGAATTTCTGAGTAAATTAACGATGATGAATGAAAATAACGAACCATATCTTTTTAGACGGGATCCGCATATTTAGTCTATTATGAGTAGTGTTTTTTTTACCGTTGGTGTTCGTCGTATTATAATACATTAGATAATACGAAACCCGATTAGCTTATGTATAGATCCACAAATAAATACCATTAATATACTTGTACACTTACGTTGAAATGTTCGACAAACCGTATTTTTTATCTATTATTATATTAGCTTATTATTACGGACACTTTTGGCGTGGCAGCGCATATACATATTTTGTTACCCACGGACTCTGCCATTATGATAAATACCAAATCGAATGGTCGATCGTCTGTAAAAAATATATATATTATTTATAGTTTTCACGTGCATATATACGGACGGGTTAGGAGAAAATGTACACTTGCACGGTGTTTTTTCTTCTTCGGGAAATCTGTAATTGAGCCGGCAGTCCGCATTGATCATCATGCGCGATCGCTGCCGTTTTTCTCATCAACTTGCGCGACAGGCTAAATCCTCAAAATTGCTTCGGTCTATCTCAAAAAAAAAAAATAATAATAACAACAATAACGATTGTAGTAAAATAATCGAACTAGTCTGTGTATCTGTAACGCATTGGCCACAAAAATATATAAACGGTCCTATTCTGCTCCATAATTTGTGCCATGGGCGTTATTTTTTGTATTGTTATTAGGTACTCGGGTAAACGGTCATTGTTAGTGTTGTATGAGAATACTGTGCGATTCCCAACAATCGCGCAATAATATGATTGACGAAAATATGTGAATTCGTTATTTAGAAAACGTTTACGGCATGTGAACCATACGAATGTGAAACGTTTTTCTGCTGTAGCCAATGTACGACTCGAGCATAAATTATTTATTACTATGTATTTATGTATGCTATTGTTGTGTGAGCCATTTTATTGTTTACTGTGTTGGCAAGGCAATTTGCGGAGATGATATGAAAAGAGATACAAGGCTCGAAAAGGTTTTCTGTATGTGCAGCAATTGTCGTCGGGTTACTTTCAAAATTGTTTATTTTGTTTTGTCAATCACCATTTACCCGTTTAGTTTCTTAAAAAAGGTGTTTTTTAACGATTACTTGAATTATGCACTGTTATCATTGTTTTCTTAAAACAGTTTAAAATATAATTATGCACAAATCCGACTTAAAGTTGTATTTGTTGTCCTTAGCATCAATAACGACCACTGGCCGATCGTCTTCGATGTCATCGTCGTCACCGCCGTCACCGTCACCAGCTACACTTAGAGAACTTTATGCGATGGCGGCCAATCAACAACACCAACAGCAGTCCCGTCTACTTGAACTATCTAACAGATACCATAGGTATCCAGAGATAGCCCATCACGTTTTCAATCAACAAGGAGCTGTCACTAAACTTCTCGGTAAGCACAATTCACAATACGCGTACACTTGAGTTATACGATACATATAAATGTGATAATCTTTATGACGAGCACATGTTAATGATGATGTTTTCAAAGAGCACATACTCACGAGTAACCAATGCAACGTGAGCGCTCTCAAAAATTTAACAACTTAAGTATTAACACTACAATACCATTGCGTACACATTTATCGTTGGTTTCAAAAACTATCCCAAGCAAATTGTTCTTCCGCTATTAGTAAATTATTACTAATAGATACGTTTAAAATGTTTACTTTATTATTAAAAATAATTTACATGAATATTTATTATCATAGCTGTCTGACTTTCTTTAAGTCGAAAGTATATTTAATATTAAAAACAGCTCATTAAAATCTATTTGTTTAAAACGATTTTAAATGTCATGAATAAACTGTGCAAAATTATCCTCCTGGATAGCTTTGTAGTATTGCTTAATTATTTTTATTGTTTTTAAAAGAATAAACAACCTGCTCTCGTGTAACAATAGTCAAAAGTATTATTATATACTTTTTTTTATTTTGTGCTTACTCCAGAGCAGTTAATCGTTTTTGTTCAATTTTCTTATTCGTTGATATGAACTAAGTGAACGAGTACCCACCATGATTATACTAATTTATTCTACATAAAAATATATCATTCCACATAGTTCATATGGTTTAGTTTTGAAATCATTATGAAACGTAATAATAGTATAATGGAAACGTGTATACAACAATTGAAATAAATATAATTAAGGATGTGGTTGATTATTTTTCGAACTAACTAGGTTGATGTGTTTAAATAAGCTTATTTGTTAGTCAAAAATAACCTTGTAAAATATTCATATTTGTTACGTGAAGTTATATAAAGTTATCTTTTACATAAACGTAATTCTATTCGGTTATAATTTTGCCAAATACCAACAAGTATTGCAATCTCAGTTTAATTACTAACGCTTCAATGGTGACCGTATAATATAAAATTGATACAGCACGGTCTCCAACTATACGATCCAAGTTAAACATTTTAATGAAACAATTTAATGATGGTTAAAATAAGTTCATCCGTAGGGTATTTTCGTGTATCTAGTGGTGAATTAAGAAGGGTGTCGCCTTTCGAGATATTTAAAAATTATGATGTTCCTCTCTCATAATAACAATATTTCTCAACAAGAGGGAACTAAATATAACCCTAAAATCGTTATTGCATTTGACTATGTGATTTCATGGATTATTCAGTAGTTGACATTTCGATAAATAAAACTGGTAAAGTTGGGTAGGTATATATAATACATGGGGGGGGGGGGGTTATATGCACAATTCCACTACATTATTTTAAATATAATTTGATTGCAAAAAAAATCTGATAAGCCTCTACCTACACCATTGACTAAATGTAAATAATAAATATTATTTATAAATTATACTTTAATAAAATATATCATACTATACTGTAATATACTTTTAAAAAATTATTTTTAAGTAATTTTTTTATAAAAAGTTACATTATTTTAGTTTGAAGAAATATTTAAAAGACTTGTACTATAATCTACTGTTTTTTTATTGAAAATTGAAACACTAAATACATTTTTAAACGATGTCATCACATTTAACGCTCACAGTAATAGTATTATTGTTATATAGACCCCGCAAGTATTTTAATATGATATATTATTGAATTTGCATTGCGAAGTATTACCATTGTAATAACGACACTAGTTGCATTGACTATTTCTATTGTGTTATCTCAACATTATGATGATATTATTATTATTATTAAATTGTTATTATAAACTTGGGCATGTTGGCGGGCGCATATTATTGGTTAGGTATCCACTTTGTTACGCTGTTGGGCGCACATGACTCTCGGCCAACGAATGTTGGACAGAATGGTTAGCAGTATATAATAAATATCAACTCTTCAGGCTCATCGAAATCATGAAATGAATCTAAGTGATGAAAATTTTTTAAGAAAACTTTTCGTTTAAAGTGATTTATAAAAACTAAAATGACACAACAATTTTTAATTGCTCTTGCGAAAAACTAATGGTATTTTCCCCTTGTGTAGTATAAGACATTATTGTTTAAAATCTATACATTAAACTAATTAATGCAATAAAACTAATCAATTAAAAGTATTGTTATAATTATGCAAGGAAGTTAATTTGATTTTATTAATTAAGAAAAATTTTATACTGGAAATTATTTTTTGTAAAACAAACAATAGTTTTGTCTTTATAAATTTAATACATTACTATGTAAAACATTTTTAATTCATCTAATTTAATTTAGTTGGTAAGTTCCATCATAGTTTTAATGGATTTTAAATTACATAATTTATATAAGTTGCATAATTACACGTAGAATTGGATTGGCCAACTCGCTAAAAACTTATTAACAATAGGATTATAGAAAAATAACATTTTCAAATGCAATGTCTTTTCGTGTCCAATAAATTAGTCATTAACTCTAAAAAAAAATCATCAAAATATTTCATAACTTCTATACTTAACCACCTAGCTTGTTACACGTCTGCCGTTATTTTTTGGGTAGATGCAAAATGAAAAAAAAAAACAATACCAGAAGTCGTTTGGAACAGATTACGGAGGACAGGTGGAAGTGTTTAGTCCATTCTAAAAAAATTAATGCAGTGGCTATTAGCCCGGTCGTTGCAAATAAAACAATAATAATATATTTTGGATTGTCTTTAATTTTTTTTTTTTTTGTTGCTTATTTTAAGTTGATAATAGTATAGTGTATAAGTTTTTTTACGATTAAAATAACAAAACGTATATGCCTTGGGTTATATGTATACTTGTTCATATTTTTTTCATATCAAATAATTGTATTTTATTATGTAAATTCCGTTGAATAGCGACAGCCATCTGTCGGCGGCGTTTAAATGCAGAGTTCCGGAACAGAATGTTAAATAAAAAAAATCTTTCATAAGAAACAAAACATAAATGTATACCGGTAACTATATATGTGACTGATAGAAGGATGTATTCGAATCGTGTTACATGTACTAAACGGCATAATTGTTAGTACAATGTTAATAGGAAATAATTACTAATTGTTTAAAGTTTTTTATTAACCGGTCAACAATTAAAAATATGAATGTATTAAAAATTGTACTTCCTTTTCATGAAAAAGTCGTAACGGTTTGATGAATAAGGTTAGATACATAGCGCTAATTGAGGGGGACTTGGAGGGGTTTAACTTCTTTATTGTTCAAATTAGCCACTACAAAAATGTGTATTATACCAAAAACTTTTAAAACCTTTCAACGATTATTGGTTTTAAGTTTTAGAAATAAAAAATATATACTATTAATATTTATTATTAAATGACTTTTTTTTTTTTAATTGAAAGAAATCGAGTTCAAAGTTTTTTTTTCAAAGCATTCTAATGATCTAATTTATTTATTATACTATCAAGAAAAATTGTGTAATATTAAAATAGTTGATGTGTTAAGTATATTGATTTTTTATATAGTTATAGATTTTTTGAAACCAAAATGACATGTGTAGAGGTGAACCTCTCGAGTCTGTTTTATAATACATTTCTAGTTCTTCCAATTTAAATTTATGCTTATAATTTGAAAATTATTTTTAAACACTTTTTGTAATTTGAAAATTTTTTAAACGAAAGTATTGTTCTGAAGTTATCACATACTAATGAGATAACTATGTGACTTAAATATAAAAATATAAAAAAACCACAGTACAGTTGGTATTCGGCATATTGCGGTTCTGATCGAAAATGTTTTGAAGCGAATCTGTAGTTTACATATTTAAAAAAAAAATTGTTTTTTTACTTTGGTAGCCAATTACAAGTAGTAAGTCGTTAGATTCATATTTTACACATTAATTACATGCCATAACCTTTATTTTAATATGGTTTAAAAAGAAACGGGTATTCTGAAATTGGTTGAAAGTTAAAAAGAACCTATTAACTTATTATGTAAGTACAGTGTCTATATTTTTTAAACATGTACTTTGATGAAATGAGATTTAATATAAAAACATCACGCGAATCTTATGCAAATTAAACAAATACATCTTTGCTAATCATTTCGACATCATAAAACGTTCAACTTCAGTTACAATAAATTTCTAACAATTTTGTTTCGTGGGATTTCGCAGCAACTATTATAGTCAATATAATATATACTGTTATGTTTCAATTGGAGAACGGAGAGTCTCGTAAAACAAACAGTTATTTCAATAAATGAGATGATTACTTAAAATTGATCACCTTATATGTAAACATAAATGTTATCTGTAGAAAAACACTATAGTTGTTCACATGCAATATATCCATGAAACGGATGTTCCCGACATATGATGTGTTTTGTTTTTATTATGGTCAACTTGTCCTTTGACTCTAATGAGACAATCGGTAGCCGTCATTAAAATAGAAGGGTTCCTTACACACGTTTAAAAGATACACATATTATATGAAAGTCATAATGAATAAGGAGACCATTATTATGTGTATATAGGACCACATGGTACCATTGTGATGTCCGGAGAGATGACCTCCTATTGAATAAATATTGACTGCCGTCGCTTATTAAGTTTCACATTTAAATATAGCGCTCCCGCACAGGCGCATACGGATTACCGTAGGAATATGTGTGCGGTAACAATGTAATATTATTATGTATATTACACACTATGCATTGATCGTCCCTTCCAGGTGTTGCTGTTGTTTTTTCAATGGACACAAGCGGTCAACATAAAAATGAAAAAATTGTTGCGGTAATACGATACATCCAACGAAGTCGTTAATCCATTATTTATGATTTTTTCTTTTCTTCAATTATTCATAGTGTATAATAATATTTATCGTAAGACAAAAGGCACTCGACATGTGAAACCTGTTCGCATGTGCTTCTGTACCACCCATAACACAGGCGCTTCTTGTTACTTGAACTGACATCAGTGCAGCAATAAGTCAATACTTAAATTATTCTTACTGTCCTCTTGTATATCATACCGATCTTTGCAGAGATGGTGATAATCCAGACTCAAAAATTTAATAATTGGTATTCTGATAGGGTTTTTTTTGTATACTCATTTATAAATTAATAATATAAGCGAAAGTTTTTGTCACTAGTTACCAAGTCCATACACTACGACATTTATTTCTTCTACATTTGAAATCCCACCCCATCGTGATCTTTTTCTTTAGCTAATATCATAGTATCAGATGAGTGAAATGTCGCCGTACACATGCGTAAATGACGGCGCATTCCGATATAGGACAATTTTATAAATATATATGTTTTTGTTGCTAATTTTGGCGGCATAAGTGAATAAAATAATAATAATGGGCCCGTATCATTATTCTAAAAATTGCCATGCATTCATATAAAACGCGTAATTATAATGACGATAAGAATTCATGAATCCGTTAAATCCAATTCAAATGATATGAGAATAGACGACAGTGCAGTTTTTCTTTTGTTATCAAGTCCATTGTCGATATATCACTTAGTAATACATATTGAAGTTGTAATCGTTACAACTAGTTGTTAGTATTTCAAAATTACCAGAAAATAATTATTTAAAAATAGAATGTTATTAGTGATAATCTTTATAACGCCCAATCACTAATGAAGATGATTGAAGATGTTTATGTCGATTCTTTATCAAAGCCACCATAAATCATCTAATAGTGAGTATAACTTTGTAATAATTTTGGAAAAACTTCTCAAATTAAAATTAAGCTTCCCAAAATTCAGAAAATGCTTAATAATGCAGTATAAAATAAATTAATAAACAGATTTATACATCTATGTATATTTAAATATTATTACACTAGTCGACTATGATCTTAGAAGCTTGTAAACTAGATCAATAATTAATATTTTAAAAGTTTCGTAAATAAATTTTCAAGCGTATCTTTATATTGATTAGTTCGTGTGAGTAAGTTTTCCTTTAATTTTTGAACTCAATTAACTGTTGGCCACAATACAAATAGCATAACTTTGTGTGTCACCGTGCATACGAAATTTGTTGTTAAAAATGACCAGCTGATCCATTCGAGTAATCGAATTTTTTAGTATTGATTGAAAGTGTTTTTTTTTGTTTTTAATTCAAAATAGGTCCACGTCTAACCACCGCCCCCCACTGTAAGAGTGGCAGTGTTTTTATCATTGCAATTAGCACGTAGCTACGAACATTTTTAATCCCCACAATTCCTTGCTAAATTATGGGATTTGAAAGTCACGCCCAAAATAACCATGATATTCCTGTCAAAATTTGTGGAAAGTCCATGTCGTTCAAAAAACAAGAGTGTCAACTGTCTGATCCAATCGGTGGTGGCGACAATAAAAGAAACATCGACAACCGGTCGGACTCGCCGGGCACGACCACCGAGAGCTCGGATCAAGGGATAGTAATGGATGATGAGCTCAGTGACAAGCTTTACTTAACTAATAAGCTTCTTGCACATAGTAATCAGAAAATGGAACGAAGGACCGTATATGGCGACTGGTTGGATTCGGACGATGACGATAAATGCTCGACTAAGCTACGCGACGGCCGAGAGTCTTGTAGGACTCCCGCCACTACCAAAATCAACTTAAGAGAGAACCCCGCAGAATGTTTCAATGACTTGGACGAAGCTGTTACATACAATACAGATGTCACTAATCGAACATTAATAGATAGACAAACCACTGCCGTCTCCGATGTCTCAAGCAGCATAGTCAATTATTCGAAACCTACCTTTGAAAAAGAACATAATCAATCAGCGTTGAGAACAAATTTGCAAAGTTTGCAATTATCATTGACGGACGATGACATCAAGAAACTGCCCGTTGTTGCCCCCAAACGTAAGAAGTGTAAGAAGAAACGGAAACCGCAGCGTAAAGTCTTCGATGTGAAAGATGCTGCGAAATCACTTGCTGCGTCCAAAAACAAAATTAATGCGCAACGCATCCGAAATGTGTATATGTCGTATGTCGCCCGACCCAATCAAACACATCGATGCAATATGTCCTATAAATGTGCAGAATTTGAGCAAAGTCGTCAAAAGGCGTCTTCATTCATCAATCGAAACATGAGGAACATGGAAATCGTAAGAGCTAACAGTATAATCGCTAATAAGATACTGAACGCTAAGACGACCATACCAAAACCCATCAGGAAATTTTGATAGCCACATCGTGTGGCTGTACTGATGATAAGCGGGAAGCAATGATTTTATTAAATATTTGTGATAATCGAAAAATACATTATACAGATTTTTAAATAGCACTCTGATCGGGTTTTTGCGGAGACTTTTTATCAAACTTTCTCGGTTTTTGTACGACAATTCAATTAATTAAAATATTTTTAACTTCAAAAGTAACATTATATTTCCTTAAATATTAAATAAGCTAATCCCATAATAGAATTATAGTATTTAATTATTTAAAGGCTCTTTTAACAAAAAAACACTTTTTCATAGAATTTCTTTTGCCGATTAACTTAAAATTGATCGTTTATAAATGTTTTTATTCAGTTACAAATTTTTTTGTTAATGAAATAAATTAAACCAATATAGCCGGAACCTATTTGATATAAAAATACACACAAATTTTTTTAAGCTCGTGTGCCATTCAAATGATAGTCAGGTTTACCTATTTATTTATAAGTAGGCGATATAAATTAACTGGTAAATATATTTCTACGAAAATCTCAAGCTACCTAAATGTACTCAAGAGAATATATTTTATGAATAATTTTTAAATAATTTACATTAACAATGTAAGCATTTACAAGTTTGTGTTCGTGCAGTTTATTATTTGTACACAAAGGTACGCTAAAGGTCCGTCTTCGCTATACGAATACTTATTATATTATCGTACAATGTGCATAATTATCATGGCAGTGTTAGAGCCGTTGTAGTCGGGTTGTGTAGTAATCAATGAGAGAGCTAAACGCATACATAGCACGGAATAATATCATTATCAAAGGTATCTGATGAATAATTACTGCCACTGACCGCGATGGAGGCGCACAGGAAAAGGCCGGGCCGACAAACCGCAAAGCAACGACAGTTAGCACGACAACGGCGAACCGTCGCCATGGACACGTGTAAATAACAATAATATACACCAGTCCACTCAGGTCGCCTCGAATACAATGCGTAGGATTATTTTTTATGCGCGTAAAAAAAATATTAATATAGCCATACACGCCAGTCAGGCGGCCTCTGTATGGCTGCCCCTTCTGAATTGCCTATAGTGGACAGTGGTGGTTATTATAATAAAATACGACTGTACGCAATACACTTAAATAGAATTACGTGTAATTATATTTTGAGGTCGCTTTTGAACAACAAATAGTTTAAACAAGGCACTTTTAAATGTCATTATGTTGATTAAGCTTTTATTGTTGAGTTTTTTTTACTGAGTTGTTTCCGCAATGGTTAAATAAATTTAATAAACGGAAACTCTTAGGATTGGTTCGTGAAAAACGTGAAAAATAAAATAATTGGACTCTATTAAATTTTTAATGTTCAGGAAACAAATTGAATTATTTTTTTCTATTCTATAACAAGTCATTGGTTGACTTTAATTTGATAAATCCGTCAATAGAAAGTACATGACATCATTAGAAGCATTATCCAGGTGTGCTCTGGAGATCGGTCATTGGCGCGCAGAGATTGTTATACCGTAACAACGATTTTGTAATTGCCGTGAACAATTGTAATAAAAAAATGTATTTACGGGCTTAAAAAGTGACCACGGTAGGTAGAAAATCGTATTACATTATTGTTATTATTGACAACTTAATTGAAGTTCAAAAATGGTATTTTTCGTGTAAAATCTAAAATTTCGATTTGCGAAAAACTGATGAAAGTCTGGATTTCTTTAATAGTCTGAACTGAACAACAGTTTGTCTACAGTAGCAGTAATATCCCCCCTGGTATTAATTGTTTTTTGAATCAATGGTACTGTACAAATTTTGATAAAGTAATGATAGTAGTTTTTAATATTGATACTTATTCAATAGCAATAGTATCAATTTATTACAATCATAAGGTATTTTAAATATATTTAACAAACTTTTATAATTTTAATTATTAAAATAAAAATCGAATACGATGTTGTACATTATTGTAACATTATTTGACTACAAAATTTGCAACGACTACAATATTTATACATTTTATGATTCGTCCTTTTGCTATTGGACGACTCATATGCATATTACCAGACATAGTAATTAAATTGAAAAAAATAAAGCGCCGGATTAGAAATCTGTATGCTTAAAGCAATTAATAAATACACCTTCAAGGCGAAACAATGCAGTTTAATACACGTGTCGACAATGTGTCAAATAATTCTATTTTGCTTTTTGGTCAATGGTATTACATCAATAATTACGGTAGCTGTTGGTTGCAGACGGTATAGAATTTCTTGTTTAACATAACCCAAAGACAACAGCGTGGTCCGGTTTTTAACACGGTTATTCGACTTTGATGTTTTCCCTAGTGTTAAAAATTATTCATTCATGTTGTATGTGTTTATACCAAAATGTTTAACATAAGCACAATGTAAATTTATCGGTTTTTTTTATGTTCACAGGAACTTTGAGACCGCCTGGGTTGATCGGTGGAAGCAAACCCAAAGTGGCCACGCCAGCAGTGGTGTCAAAAATTGAGTTCTATAAACGAGAGAACCCAACCATTTTCGCTTGGGAAATACGAGAAAAGCTCATATCTGAAGGTAAACATATTTGACATTTATTAAGTACTAAACTCGCTTGCTATTGCCAAACGCGTCACACGCAATAGTCGTTGTCGCCAGTTCAGGAAGCCTTAAAGTGTACAAAAACAGACATAAACTTACACACCACTAATTTCTACGCGGTCTTGATTCAATTAACACCTTCAATACAAATAACATCTAAAATTAAAAGTGTCGCCATCAAATATACTCCAATCGGTCCAAGGACATTATTTGCTTGAGTGTATTTTATTGTAAAACCGGTAATTGATAATTTTTTAATTTTCCATTTGCTCTTAACAAAACCGTCGGTAAACAAAACCGAGCGATCATCGCTCAGTCGACTAGACAAAACGAATGGAAACCCTTCAAGTGATGGGCACAATATCCGTTTACTAAACTAGTCAACGCTAATCCGTGAGAATACTAATTCATACGCAGTACAACTCGCATATCCGAATTCGATACTTCCTTCGGTCTGCTTTATCATTCACAAATTGCCCATAGACACGATGAGTTTGTGTTTGAGTCTTTTACACACATGACACCGATCGTGTGAAAGTTTCCCCTTCTTTTCGAAAATTCAATCTCCAAACTTTGTCAGATTGGGAAATCGTATGCAATCAAAATAAATAACTAGTTGTAAATGGTTATTCGAGTGTACGACCTCCGGCACAGTTGAAGTGGTCGTTATTATTGTGACACCCATTGGATAGTTTTTTTCTATTTCTCTTAAACGACACAGCACAGACGCAGGCTCGTAATTAAATTGGTCATGGGGACCACCGCATTCGTAGACACAAATATTATTTACTATTGTGTTGCGAGTGGTAATTCGGCGTGGGCTTGAATCTTCCCCTCGGTCCTTTCTTCTGGAGCGACTCACTCGCACTCTTATACCTACATGGACACCTATCGCCATCACTGGTATGTTCCATCAGAACGTCCACAGCCGTCACCGGTGTCATTCATACGAATGTACATATCGGTGCTAGTGACGATGATAATAATGGTAATAACAGCTCTTTATTATATTGTTATCGTGACGATTGTCAAACGGACACCGTGTGTATAACAACGGGTAACGAATCTTTACCTTTTCTACATTACCAATTACCCGTGATGAAAGGATTATACGCGCAGAGGACAATTCCGCCGTGTGAACCGTGTACAATAAATAAATTATTATTATCATTTTCATTATTATTATTAGATTGCGCCGTGCCGTCTTCGGTACGGTCGAATAATAAAATATACAATCACATATAAAATAGTTCCGACGGTTCTTCGTCTTGCCATTGTTAAATTCCCAGTAAATTACCCTAAACAGAGAATATTCCAAACGCGTAAAAAAATGCACACATATTTCCCCGGCCATCTGTAACTAAGCGGTGCACGGCCAACGGTACTTGCAATAAATGGTCTATTTATGTAAATAACTTCTAACTGTACCGGCTACCGATTACCTGACCTTTAAATACGTGTATTGAGAATGTTTTGCACACGGCTGTAGTCAATTCACTAGTAAACATCTTGAATTTTCTCACGTGCACCAGTGTCATAGGTGTCATCGGCAAATTAATCGTCAATTAGGTACTATCGGCCAAAAGACGAGTAAAGTGATTTCTAGTAGCTCTGCGGGTCCTCTCTCCGACCAGCTGCATTTTCTATCCTGCCAGAGTTCAACACGTCCAAACATTAGCCAAGTATTAATAATCATTTGATATTATTATCTACAGGCTTGACGTTGCTGTCAAAATAATAATAATACTTAATAGCCCCGTGCCCGATACTTTATGCACTGTGTGCAATAAGCTATTGATTCTAATGCAATTCTATTTCGACGGATTCTCCGGTCGACAAACCGGATACGACGCGGAAACATTTCAACCGTGTTAACCGACTCCGTCTGATTTTTCTCCGTATTAATCTATGAAATGACTAATCAACGCATGACTAAACTTTTAAACTGCCAATTCACTAATATTTTCTCGATCGAAATTCAATACACCCAGTCCATTGTGTTGTTATTAATTATCGAGACGCACACGACTCGATACGGTGTCCAAAGAATCAAACGTCAAATTGTTTAATTAATGTTTTGACATTTTTCAGTTTGACTAAAATAATTTACAATGTAAACCGCGCCCAAAGCTCTCTGTACAGACGCCGTGTTACTACATGCTCGTAACTATAATGTTAAATACTACAGTGCGGTAGTTTTTTTTATTATATATATATATATATATTAATATTTTAACGTACATTGTGTTGTGTACGATCTCTGTCAGACATTCCGAACGTGATCAATTACTTCAATACCTAATACAGACAGACACGTTGTACCGAAGCAGTCACGACACCGCGCAGACGCCGTCGAGTACGTTCGACCGGTTTTTCTATTGTACTCGTTGCGACACCGATTTAGATTTTCGATAGATTGTAGATGTTATAATAATTGTTTTCTGGTAGAAACGATTAACGACAACTAGCAGAGCGTTGAAATCTATTAAAAAATATCAAACGTTTCAAAAATCATCTTGCGTGGTTTTTTAATTTGTTGCAGGAGTGTGCACTAATGGCACGGCGCCGTCTGTGAGCAGTATCAATCGAATATTGAGAAACAGAGCGGCCGAAAGGGCAGCAGCCGAATTTGCCAGGGCTGCCGGATACGGTCTATATCAAGTATCACATCCGTACGCTTCTTTTCCGTGGCCGCCTCATCCCCATAGTTTGTGGCCCGGTGTCACGTCCGATGGACAAGCCGCACCGGCAGTCAATACTGGCGGGTTATCGCATACCGGTACGGCGGCCGCTATCGCTGCCGCGGCCGCTGCAGCAGCCAACACAGTGACGAATAACAAAAGTTCACAAATGATCAATGCACACCAGCAATGCATGTTATCAGCTCGAGACATGATGCCCAGACTTTTATGTGAGTATATTTTACAGTGAAATAACAAAATATGGAAAAACTTTTTAAAAGTGACACATTGACGACCATTTTCTATTATATTTACAAGTTTGGATATTTTTTGCGTACACATCAAATAAATTTACTATTGGGGAATGTTGTATTAGAAAATATTTGCAAAAAACAGACCACGAAATAATATTATTTTGCTTATAGTCTTTAAGTTTTACGCATAAAATCAGTAACAGTGTTATTTTACTCTTGTTCGGTGCGGTATTTTCACGAGGTTAGTGTATTTTAATACTGTCGATAATCTAAGTATTTGTTAAGTGTTACCTGGTGCATTCGAGGAAACAACACAATAATTTTATAATTATTATGATTGCATGTCAACCGTGGACCCCATTTAAACACCACGGTTATAATTTTATACTTTAACAAGTTTAGAGCGGCAAACCTGCACCTTAAATTATTCATTTATGTCGTTTTAATAGCAATTAATACCACTTGTGTTTAGTATTAATGTGTATTATCATCTCGTACGGTTACGGAGCCTGTTACTGGCATTTTAAGTTGTTTGAACTACATGCAAATAAATTTCCATTCATCAATCAATTTTTGTTGCCATACAACGTTCATAAAAATTAATCAATAATTTAGTCATTATTAATAAACTTTTTATTTGCGACGAACACATTTTTTTAACGCGTTTTCTAAGCTAAACCACAAAGAACAATGTATACAGATGAAGTCTTAACAGGGTATTTTTATAAGGCGTTNTATCATCTCGTACGGTTACGGAGCCTGTTACTGGCATTTTAAGTTGTTTGAACTACATGCAAATAAATTTCCATTCATCAATCAATTTTTGTTGCCATACAACGTTCATAAAAATTAATCAATAATTTAGTCATTATTAATAAACTTTTTATTTGCGACGAAAACGTTTTTTTAACGCGAATCTGAGTTTTCTAAGCTAAACCACAAAGAACAATGTATACAGATGAAGTCTTAACAGCATATTTTTATAAGGCGTCTATTATTGTGCATGGTGCACAAATTATTATTGTTATAGTGTTAAGTGCGTGTTGCTGTAGGCGTCTTCTGAGCATATTTGTAATGATCATGTAAACGTGCACACACTAATTAGCATCCTGCAATTACGGTTAAGCCACTAAAAAGAATAATCATGAAAATAAATATGAAGCGACTTGGAAAAGTAATATTTTCTAAACTAACCATTAGAAGCACCTCTTGCCCTTTATCGTTGTGTCACATCGGGGCGTTTGTCACTGGGTTCCGTGCAAATAATTACAATTAAATTGTACGTATATGAAAAAAATAATAATAATCGTTTTACCGACACGATTCGACCTACGTCCCCGTTTATCTTTCGGTATTATCTGTTTTCTATGTGTCATTTTCATAGGATATAAAAAATGCATACGCTTCCGGAATATCATGAAGTATCATTCATGTGTACAAATTGCTATGGTCAGATAATTTTAAATAAATCTTTTATTTTTCTGGCGCTACAATTGCAAAAAACAAAGCTAACTTCATCATTAAATCTGAACAACAATCACAATATTAAATAACTCTTTGAAAAATTGAGCAATGTTATGTAACTATTTTACTTTTTTCAAATACAATATTACCTTTTTTAAATATCTATTGACCCGTTTTTTTAAATTCACTATTAATTATTATATTTACTGTTCGCTTTTTATTTTTAATGAGTAGAATAGTGTTATATTTTTTATTCCTTATTAGAACAGAACTACTAACATAACAGAATAAAACATAACTGAAAAATTAAGATTATATAAACAGTTTATATTTTCACAGCAACAGAAGGTGACATTAAAGATGACGAAAGTATCGGAAGTGGAAGTGGTGGCGAACAACCAAAATTTAGGCGAAATAGAACAACTTTTAGTCCAGATCAACTTGATGAGTTAGAAAAAGAATTCGATAAAAGTCACTATCCTTGTGTGAGCACTAGAGAGAGACTAGCTGCCAAAACGAGCTTATCAGAAGCAAGAGTACAGGTAAGCTTGAAGTCTCTAGTGATAAATGTCAAAGGGCTTAAGATCTATATGATTATGTTTTCAGTATAAATATATAAGAAACTTGATAGTATACAACCAGACCTCATAATTTATATCAGTAATAAATGTTATTTTGATATGAATTTAAAAATATTGTTTGTAGCCAATTAAAATGCATTAAAAAAACCAAACATGTGCAAACAATAAATGAAATGTGACTAACNGCCAAAACGAGCTTATCAGAAGCAAGAGTACAGGTAAGCTTGAAGTCTCTAGTGATAAATATCAAAGGGCTTAAGATCTATATGATTATGTTTTCAGTATAAATATATAAGAAACTTGATAGTATACAACCAGACCTCATAATTTATATTAGTAATAAGTGTTATACTGATATGAATTTAAAAATATTGTTTGTAGCCAATTAAAAAAACCAAACATGTGCAAACAAAAAATGAAATGTAACTGAAAAGGTTTAACTATTATTTTATGAAAACTTTTTAATTTAAGTTTGATATTTTATGAATTGCACTTTTATCATTAAAATTAAACATAAACGATTTACTAAAGACATAATAATGTGTTTTAAGTATTAAGGACAACGATCATTTTTCAATCGTACGTAACTGTTTATAACTTTTTTACTGAGATTACCTAAACATACAGTGGAAAAAATTGGCCACCTTAAAATCACATATTTCTATAAGCTTTATAGAGATGTAATATTTTAAAAATGATGCTCAATTTGTATTGCGAATATAAAGTAATTTTAAAAATTGATATTAAATTCAAAATTAGCGAACTTAGAAAGAAAAAGAATAGAAAACTTCAAGATAATTTTGTCATAAATCAGGAGGTATTGGTTTGAACAAGTCAATTGATTTAACTGTTAGCTTTACTTCAGGATTTTTTTTTGTTATAATAGTTANTGAATTGCACTTTTATCATTAAAATTAAACATAAACGATTTACTAAAGACATAATAATGTGTTTTAAGTATTAAGGACAACGAACGTGTTTCAATCGTACGTAACTGTTTATAACTTTTTTACTGAGATTACCTAAACATACAATGGACGAAAATTGTCCACCTTAAAATCAAACAAACTTCATAGAGATGTTATATTTTAAAAATGATGCTCTATTTGTATTATGAATATAAAGTAATTTTAAAAATTGATATTAAATTCAAAATTAGCGAACTTAGAGAGAAAAAGAATAGAAAACTTCAAGATAATTTTGTCATAAATCAGGAGGTATTGGTTTGAACAAGTCAATTGATTTAACTGTCAGCTTTACTTTAGGATTTTTTTTTGTTATAATAGTTAAAAAAAAAAGTGGAATATTGTCTTGACCTCTTTAAAACTTTTCTCCATTACTGTACTGAAATAGCGCTAAAACACGAAATTTCGTATTTAGCTTATTAGTTTTTTGAACCAAATTCACAACTTACGTAGGTATCCCTAGGTCCTTTTTAAAAAAATTTGGAATTGCTAGAAGTTATGATCCTTGTTTATAATTAACAATATTTTTTTATCTAAAAATACAAAACATCTTATTAATTGATATATTTAAGTAAATTTTAGGTAAAAATGAAAATTGAAATTAATGAAAATGTGGAATTTCAGTTTTTCTTTTGACACTTGAGCTTTTATTGAATATCATTTAATGGTTATTTTCAGGTGTGGTTTTCGAACCGAAGGGCCAAATGGCGGCGACACCAGCGCATGAACAAATCACGTCGTTCGACTGGTATGGCGGCCGCTTCAACTGTTTCGGGAAGCAGTGGCGGCTCAACTGGTACTCCCACGCCGCCTGTCGTGTCGCCAATGTCTGATGCCATGACAATCGCAGGCGGCAGCGTAGTGCCGTCTCGCTGTTTGGGAAGTGGCGAAACTAGCGCTTTTCGTTCGCTAGTACCCTCGTTTCGCGATACACCGACCGACAATGGATACGGTTACGCCGCGTCCGAATCGTCTGAAGAGATCAACGTGACCACTGATGATGATGAACCGACGGGCGACGACAACGGTGAACACCGTTCGAATGGATCATCGCCGTATAACAATAACAATAACATCGAAGACAACAGCGGCAGTGATACTCGCAAAGACACATTGACCGTAGACGAACAAAGACAGTCACCATCACCACTTTATCGTTTTTCTGGTGATCGTCAACCATTTTTCGGACTAGGTGATCCAAAATCTGCGGATCATCACCATAACGTATTGTCTTCAATAGCCTCATGGAGAGAAATGGCTGCGTTCACGGCACTTCACCACCGCGCAATGGAATCGGAAGCGGCCGCAAAAGTGGCGGCTGCGGCTGCGGCAGCGGCAGCCACCGGAGTACAACCATTGCAATTAACTAAGTACGACAAAGACAGAGCGTGAAGTACTCATGTGATAATTTTTTATTGGCTTTAGTTAAATATTCATTACATTTTAACTGTTGACGGTGAATTTGAAATCATAAATCATACTACTGTCCAGAATTAAATTATTGTATTACTAAGAATTGATAAAAATCAATTGGTATCGTTCGAAAATCACATGACAATATGTTTTTATTTCATTTCAAGTATCGTTGAAGTAATAATTGAGGTGGTTAAATGGATTTTGTTTTGTAATTATCTAAACAAATCACAAAATGTATCATAGAATTTTAGCTTTTAAGGTTCAACTAATAATTAGTAAAATTATTAATGAAAATAAATTTAGTTTAAGTAGTTATTGAGTGTCTGGGAAATAAAAACATTACTTTATTAGAGAGGTAATGATATCTACATAAGCCTATAAGTGCTTTAGACTTAAAAAACTGTAGTGTAGTTAATATAACTATTGAAATTTATTTTAAAATTAGTGAAGTTTTTTAGTAAAAATTTAAGAGTGTGAATCGTTTTTGTTATTACGAAATAGTATCTGTAAAAATTACTATAATTATAAATATTTTTTTTTTTATAAATATAAGAAAGACGGGGCTACAGTTTTATAAGTCCTTTATTAGTTTTTTGAACGGAAGTATGTTTTCACACGCAAACTATTTTACTACGTCATTTAGCGCACAAATTAACGAGTAAACAGCCATAATTTTTTCGTATTCTTTTTAATAATAAATCTGCAGCTATTGCTAACCAATATAATAGTAAATATAACACATGTAGAAAATACTACATTACAATTCTTAGGAGGAATTTTTAATATGCAGAAACAAAAAAAAGAAGAAAAAACGTTTTTTTGGTTAATTTCAGAAGATGGACGGTTCTTGTCAATAATTACTGTATACAGACTTTATGATTTATAAGATCAATTTCGAAAGGAATTTTCATTTATAACATTTTTAATGACTTTTGAAAATAATGATTTTTTACTCGACCATCTTCTTGAAAAATAAATAGTTCATATTTATCATTCTTCAAAGAAATTAAAGCTATGTTACTAGGATAATTTTGTATTTATTTTTATTCTATTGTCTTGTCTGTGATATATTATTATTTGTTCAGCCTATATGAACATTTTATTTTTTATTTTTTTGTTGTATTAAAAATGTTAATTAATTTTATTTATTCCTATATGCAAATTCAAGTGTAGATACTGTATCATATATTCACTTTTATAGAACTAAGTTATTACAGCATAAAAAGTACGAAATTGTATATATTTAATGCACAATAAACCAAACTATAATGATATTTGTTTTTTTATTTATTTTATACGCAGATAAATTATACGCGGATATAATAATTTTGTCATTTCTACTATATTAGCCATAGTCGTAGAGTGGTGGGGCTAGAAGGTCTTAGCAAAATTGTAAACCAATTACAATATTGACCGCCAAAAATTTAGAAAAAAATATATACATTGTTATATGGAATTAATTTTTGTGAGGGAAAAAAATTCAATTAGTACCCCTCCACAAAAAACCATTTGACCACCCTACGAATATGTTATTAATATTAACCACTGACGCTATCTGAAAGTAGACGACAAATATTGATCCAACTATACTTGGGGCCATTNGCTATCTGAAAGTAGACGACAAATATTGATCCAACTATACTTAGGGCCATATTTATATATTAACAGATTATAATTGAATATAGAAATAGAGTTGACACCTTAAATTGAGGAATTCGTGGAGATGGGTTGAAGCTTAGGAGTCTTAATGTGTTGGGTTGGGTATAATTATTATTGGATATACATTATAATTTTTAGGTATATATGAGAGAGTTGCACAACGTAGGGAGGAATTTCGGTAACTGTATTTTAAATCTTAGATTTTAATTCTTAAAACTAGGACAACTATACGTGGTCACTTTTGATAACCTTAAACTATAAGTATTATACATGGATTTTACTAATAATAAGAAGATTTTAATAGCTACAATTAAGTATTATAATAAAAAAATTTGTTTTTTTATTATTGTGATTACAAAAACAGATTGTTTTTCTAGAAATACATCTAAATTTAAAAATTAAGAATTAATTAAGCTTCGGGAGAAAATAGGTCTCAGGTTGTAGGAAAAAATTCTGTAGAATATTTATATATGTTNTTTTTTAATTTATAGTGCGTAACATAAGCTTTAATTTAACATATGTTTAAAGGACGCAGTATTTTTGGAACAATTTAAAAAGTTGAAAACATTAAATTTTGTGAAAAAGCTACTATTTTGAATACCCCCTGAGGTCAAGTAAAGGCTGAGATTTTCAAAAATTTATATCAAATGAAAGGGAAATACCTTAAGTTTCTATTTAAAATAAAATTGTACTTCGATTCGTTCAATTTTCAAAAATGTATGGCACTTTTAAGAAAAAAATGTCATAATTTACCGATTTTAATAATTATAATTTTTTTGGAGACTTCCAATATACTGGGAAAGAGGAAATTTTTTCAATTTTTAAGGGCAATGTCTTCAACTAGATACAATTCGTGATCTTTAATAGTATTGATCATCTGGATGCTTCGCCTAAAAGACCTGTTGGCCTATTTTTAAATTGTCAAACAGTTTCCATTGTTTTAGTTATACGGCCTTCTAGGTAATGTTCGATGAACGTTTATGTATCACAATTGTTTGCAATTCGTTGCAATAATATAAATGAATATTTTGAATTTTTACAATTTGATTTATAATATTAAAATATTTATTTTTAATTA